GACCAATATTGATTGAGAAAGCAAGTCAGCCATTCTGGATGTGCAAGGCGGGCTGATACATCTCTCCCACTCAGACAAAACGATGTGTTGCAGGTAAAGGGTCCCTAAGATCGTGGAATTCACACGCATGGAGCCCGCAACCTCTCGGCACGGCACTTCGACTCTCTTCCGAAGTGAATATGCGGATGGTCCGCGTCCCGGGCATGTGATGTGTGACGAAAGCTGCGGCCACGCAACCATCAAGTCGATGCCCTTCTTGTTCCAGGAATCCTGAGTCCCGGAAGCCAAAGACCAAACCTTCCAGGGTCTTTGTGTTTGGGACTGAAGTTTGCCAAAGACCGTTCCGGCATGCCTGAGATTGAAATCCCCTGCTCCCCTACCGCACCTCCAATAAAAGCCTTCGCAGGCCACCCCATGCATCCCCATGCTGCGCGCAATGCGAAAGAAAAACCATAAACCCGTATGCAGGAGGCACCTCGTAGGCTTGGACTGAGCTCTTCGAAGTTCCGAAGCAATGAGCCGCAGTCAGCACCCAGCGATCTCGAATTAAGGTCCTGCTGTTGGTTTCTGATATGTGCCGGCACCACGGTTTGCAACATGCAAAGCACTCCGCCCCAGGCGGTCCCTCCGCAGATGTGGGTCGAGCTGCTCGCAAACTGCAATGACACCAGGTAGGGGAAGACATCTGCAAATCGACTCCAGTCCACTTGTCCTAGCACGGGAAACGATGGAGGCTCCAAATGATGATTCAGGTCATCAGGAACGGGCCTGCGGTGAAAGGAGACGAAGGGCCCCGAAGACAGACAGGGAAACAGACCCCTGCGGAAAGGGCGACGCGTCTATCAGGTGTCCCTCTGTGTTCACCAAGCGGCTGTCCGAGCCGTCATAGCCTCGGGCACTGCATTGACTCCAGGGCGGCAACGGACCCGGCGTAGAATCTCGGGGCCAGGCTGTAAACCAGGCGCCTGTCGTCGTCCACCGCCAAGCTGCATACACAGAGGCCCAGGAGCAACGAGAGCCCACGAGGCATCTCGGGATGCCCTCTGCTGCTCGCGCAGTGGAGCTTTGAGCCTAACTTCCTGGAGAAAGAGATCCGAGGATCAGAAAAATAACTTGACTGAAAGTTTCTCAACATGTCCCTCACACAGGGACGTGGACGGCACTGTGGAGGTGACTCCTACACACTAAGGGATCATGCGCTGAACTCTGTTTGACCGCTTGTATTGCACAGCCATTTGTGTGGCTGCAAGAAGTGCATGCTGCACGGGTTGGCCAAGTCTACAGCAGCCTCTACGAAGACTCTACTGCTGAAGCTGATGAAGCTTGGCTGCAGAAGGTGGCCATACACATGCAAGCAGGAGAAGTTAACAAATCCTCAAACTTCAAGGGAACTTTTAAAAAGACACTCTTCATGGGAAGCTGACCTTTCGTGGTGCTGGTTACAGGCCAGCCGGGGCTGGAACCAAAATCCAACGCACAACGTGCGCATCCAGAACGGTCCGGAGTGCTTGTCTGCGCTCAGTGTTCAACAACATCCTTCATCATGATCAGCAACTGCTGTCGATTCTGGCTCCACAGTTCGGGCACAATTCGCTGCTGAACTGTGCGTGAAAGCTGATGCTTGCAGCTATACTAGTGCTGGCGTGGAAAGCAGGGCCACAATCAGCGATGTAGTTCCGCAAGCACTGATGCCTGTAGGGACGTATACGGCAAATCAATGCAACTGAGCCGAAAGACCCGTCCCTTCCCTGCGCACGGCACTTCGCTTGACGCCAGGATGCTCGCAGAGAGGCCGCCCCCCAACGTGGTGGAAGTGGCCTTCTTAAGGGGGTCTTAAGAGACAGAGAGTGATGGCCCAGTGATGGCTCTACCGCAAAGAGAGACAATTCAGAAACTCTATGCCTCGCCTGCGCCGACCTCAGGCATCTGGAGATGTCTTGCACTCTGCACATCCGCATGTCCAAGGAAACCCTGCTTCAATGAGTTTTCGACACCACTGATCCTGTGATCTCGCTTCACGAGCAGGACAGACACCAAGGACACGCATCACACACACACACACACTTATGGCTGATTTAAACGGAGTCTACAGTGGAGGTCAGCACGATGGAATCTCAGGTCGCGCATATTTAGGAAGTTTAACCTGCATGGCTCCATGAAGCAGCAAATTGTCGCCATGGCTCGCGCAAGTACCGCAGCTGAGGGGACCTGCAGAAGAATGTCTTCGAAAGTTCAGCTGGCTTGCCCGAAAATGACATGCATTCTGCAAGGACATGGAACATCCGACATCTGACCAATCTCTAGCTGGAACCCCAAATCTGCTGACCCCCAAGCAGCCCGTCATGTCACCAAGAGGCAGGACTGCAGAAGCACGTCTTCGTTCGCTTGGGAGTAGCCTGCGTTCACAGACACAGGTGGGGCCTTCGTTCTGAAAAACTCACATGCGCTGCCGATGGACAACATCCTGCATTACCAACAGTCTGGGAACTTTTGGAGTTTTTTTTGCCGTATTCCTTGTCAATTGAGCTTGAACGGTGGGTGGGAAAGCAGATTGACCATCTATAAAACGTAACAGTCATGAGCTCACAGAGTCGGATGATCGCCCATGTGCTCTTTGCAGTCTCAACCCAAGCCAGAAACAGTCCCCAGTGTGAGGCGAGTCGCCGTAGTCCTCCTGAGCAGGAATGCGAGAACCAAGAACCACATGCAGGCTGGAATCCTTTCCTGCTGTTCATGCTAGTATGGCGTCAAAGTCTCATTGCGCCAGGGGCTTGGCGGGCGGTTTCAACCGACGGCAGGGCCCCGGCAGAGACGCGAATCTGCTCCTCTACCGTCAGTCACAAAGACTCCCCAAGATCCGTAGACTGAAGATCATGCCAAAATGGAGCCCATGTGGTCCATTCATTTGACCGGCATTGTCCCGAAGACCATTTAATTATGCCGCAACAGAGCCTGGCAGTGGACAGTTTGAGAAGACTTACATGGATGCTTAACATGGATGCTTATACTTGTGCTGATTGTTTGTAGTGGCGCGTTAAGAGGGTGCACAATGGCGCACAGATGTGAAAATGATTATAGCGGCTGTGAGCCGGGGGCCTATTCACTGCTTCTTTGTATCATTCCCAAAAACTGTTGATCTTATCTGCCGCAAGTAAGAATGATACATGATATGTACATCTTATATATTTAAAAATACCAACTTTAGCATTATGAATAGCAGGAGCAGCATGATACATGCCAAGTCTCTGATGCTCGGGAGCAATCGTATCCCTTCCTGAGGCTCGGAGGGCAGGGACAGTGGCACATGCCAACGGAGGTCCGTCACTCGGTCGATCCAAACTAATTAATCCAAGACGGAAGCTTCAACATGTCGCACCAGGGCGAAATTGCACTGCCGAGATGCCATTGAGGGCATGTGAAACCTCGGATTGCGAAGCTAATGAGAGAAGAAGGCCTAGAGGAACTTGAGTGGGAGCTCCAGCCAATACCCACTCACAACACTTTCGGGCCAGCATGGTCCATGCCCATGCCTGGCCAGCTTAACCAACTGAGCAAAGTTTAAAACAAGTGCATCTCATCAACAATCAACCTGGAGAAACCTCTTCCCCCCGCAAAACCACGGACCCCGACAACAGCCCTGGGCCCTCGGCAGTCGTGTCAGCTTGCAGCTTGCATCCAAGCTGCTCTTAGCATCTTCGAAGTACGCCACGTCTGTGCAGTCTGTACCTCAGTCGCATGCACTTAAGCCAACTCTGCATATGCGTCAAAAATGCCAGTGGCGATCCCTGTCTCTATCTCTGTCTGTCTGTACGTATGTCTGTCTGTCTGTCTGTCTGTCTGTCTGTCTGTCCGTCTGTCTCTGTCTGTCAACCCGTCTCTCGCTCTCTCTCTCTTTGCTTTGCCTGCGGCTAGAGCTGCAGGCAGTCCCTGCAGCCTGCGCGTTCGCGCTACCCATCCAGTATTTTCACCGGATGGGCTCTGCTGTACGGAGACTCGGCTGTGCAGCCGTTGTGTACGGTGCGGGTGCCACTGTGGGGGCAGGCGCACCGCCTCTCTCTCTCTCTCTCTCTCTCTCTCGCTCTCTTTCTTTCGCCAGGGCTAGGGGCAAGAGGAGACTAGCCCCCCTTGACGGCTGTCTCTCTCTCTCTCTCTCGCTCTCTCTCGCTCTCTCTCTCCCTCTCCTACTTGCTCCTGCAGCGAGCCCATCCTTCATCTCGGGCTAGCGATGCCTTGCTTTCGCACCTGTTTTCGCAATCCGGCCAAGTACTGCTACCAATACTCGTCGATGAGAAGCAAAGGCTAGGGGCTTGTGGCCCTTCTGGGTTCAAGCATCCGCGTCCTCCAGACTGTACAGAGGAGCCTTCAACATGCAGAAGGGAAGGAATCTCTCAAACAAAGATCCGACAAAGATACGAAACATGAAGCTTAAAGGTCTCAAGACGATGCCTCCGTGGCGGCTTCATATCAGGCGTTGTCTGCCTACACGCAATACTCGGCTGTGGACTACACTAGCAAGCACTGCTTCGTCATCGATAAGCGATGATCTTTCAAGGTAAATTGAGTCTGAAGCCCAAGCCACGAGCTCTCCACATCGGCCATCAAGACCACTCCGCGCCTACAATCCGTAGGGCGCGTCGGCCCTGGGGGTGCCCATGTGAGAAGCTGCCGGCTTCTCTGAAACTACGGCCACCCCGGCCACCTTCAACAATCCGCTAAGGTAAACCGGGAGCGCCGAAGCACAAATCGAGACTGGTCACCAGTGGTATTCTGTCACAACACTAAGCACCTCAAGTTGCATGCACAAGTGCATGCTCAGCATGTGAGAAGGGACGTCTCTACACTCACACCACGCGCCCGCGACTGCTTGGCAGTCGAAGAGCGGCCTTGATTTGCTTTGCGGCTGAAAGTTTGAGAACGTCCAAAAACTGCTAAAATGCCGGTCCCCCAAGCGACAATGTGCGCGGGTTGAACCAAGCAACCACTTCCTGTGCCAACTCTGCTCATTTCTGCGCCTGCATCTGCAGCTTGTAATACACTCCCTTCATTGCCATCAGCTCTTCGTGGTTCCCCTTCTCCACCACGCGCCCGTCAGCGTTCACAAGAATGACATCACAACCCTGGATGGTGGAAAGGCGGTGTGCGATTGCGAAAGAAGTACGCCCCTCTCGCGCCGCTTCCAGAGCCTTCTGCACGATGGCCTCGCTTTGCGTGTCCAGGGCACTGGTGGCCTCATCCAGCAGCATAACCGGTGGGTTGCGGATAAGTGCCCTGCAGATGGCCACGCGCTGCTTCTGGCCACCCGAGAGGCGGCCTCCTCGGGGACCAACCTCCGTGTCCAGGCCCTTGTTGCCATTTTTGTACAAGAATGCGAGGTTTGACATCTTCTCGCACTGGCTGACGTACTCATCGCTGACAGTCTCGCCATCGTCGAGGCCGTACATAATGTTGGCGCGAACGGTGGTGTTGAAGAGGATCGGCTCCTGACCCACGAAACCAATCTGCCGACGCCACCAACGAATGTTGACGGTGTTCAGCGCGACCCGGTCGTTGCCGATGAAGACCTGCCCTTCCTGAGGATCGTAGAAGCGCTGGATCAGGGACATCACCGTGCTCTTGCCACCACCGGATGGGCCCACAAGACCGACAGACTGCCCGGCGGAGATGCTGAAGGTAATGCCCTTGAGCACCTGGACCTCCGGACGGAACGGATAGAAGAACTTGACGTCACGGAACTCGATCTGGCCAGCTTCCAGCTGCTTTGGCGTCTCACCAGTTGGCTCCAAGCCGTCAATGGCAGAGATGCGATCCATAAGCTGAAACATGTCGTGGCAGGCCACCTTCGCCTTGGTCGCGTCGCCAACCATGACAGCCGCCTGACCTGCTCCCATTCCAGCATAGAAGATTCCCATGAAGGCCATCATCACCCCCTGGAAGTCGGCGACCCCCTCTTTGATCAGGATGGACGCAATGTAGAAGCCTCCAGCCATGATGAAGAACATGATACCGTTGGAGACACCGAATCCCAGTCCAGCAAGGATGTTGCGCCTCCACATGCCCACCAAGGACTTCTCGACCCAGCTCACATACATGCCCACAAGGCCTTTCTCCACACCTAGTGCCTGCACCGTGCGAGCGTTCATGACGGAGTCCACCACAATCTGGTTGGCATTGGTGATGTTCTCGTTCTCGTTCTTCGAAGCACCCAAAAGCACCAACATCTGAAGCGCCTGCGCTACGATCATGATCGGGATGGAGCCCAACATAACCAGGGACATTTGCCAGCAGTAGACGAAGGCAATCACGAGACCAACGACCAGGGAACTCATGGCCGCAGCCTTGGCCTGATGTTATGGCACCCTTGTGGTGTTGAAAGAGTCTTTATTCAACTTTATTCAGACAGATCTGGGCAGGGTTTTGGAATTGGAGTAGGCCTGCACGGACTTGCACAAGGTGGCCACGCGGAAAGCCCAGAGCTCCAGCGCCTTGGATAGCATGCCTGGGGTGTTGGCCGGATCATCATGGAATCCCACCTGGTGTGCGCAGTTGTGAGGTGAGCTTGCTTCCAAATCCCGATTGCATGGCTGCATAGGGTTGTTTGCTAAGCTTGCATATGCTTGCCTTTCAGAAAACCAAACAGGATTTTGAAGAACCCTCCACCTCCTGGCGGAACATACCCGTCAGGATTGCCACGCGGAGACGCTGCGTCATGGCCTCCCCAAGGATGGAGAAGCAACCGTGGGAGATGGTCGAGCCCACGAGGACACTCACGCCAATGATGACGAAAATCAAAGCCATCTGTTCGAGGTCGGACCTCATCTCCTCCTTGTCTATCTTGAAGAAGCCCTCCATAGATCCTACAAGCGCGATAGTGCAAACCGGCATGGCGGAGCCATCCACCATGGCGCCGAGAATTGCAGGGACGAAGAAGGGCCATTCAGGCTTGTTGTAGCTGAGGAGTCGCCTCATCGGCACCTTATACTTCTTGACGATGTCCTTCTCCCGATCAGCTTCTGCCTCCTTCTCTCGCTTCACACGCTCGCTCTCCGACTCCCCAGAATTCGTCGAGGAGCGCTTCACTACCATCTGCAATGTCTGGTCGTGGGGCACTGCAGGCGCCTCATTCCCCTCTTCCTCATCGGCTTTGGTAGAAGACTCCTGTGCTGCGACCAACGCGTAGTAAGTGCCCTTCTTCTCCATGAGGGAGGCGTGATTGCCCTTCTCCACCAAAGTACCCCGACTGAGCACATAAATGAGATCCGAATTCTTCACGGTGCTGAGACGATGGGCGATGCTGACAATTCCGAGACCGCCTGTGGCGTTGGCACTGATGCTGTCAATCGTGGCCTGGATCATCTTCTCGGACGTGTTGTCGAGGGCGCTGGTCGCCTCGTCCAAGAAGAGGAAGGAGGCCTTCTTCAGCAATGCTCGGGCAATGGCAATCCGCTGCTTCTGGCCTCCTGAGAGCTGACCGCCGCCACTCCCAACAAAGGTGTTGTACTTCTCCGGCAAATTGTCCACGAAGCCGAGCTGAGCGTCGGCGCAAGCCTTGGCGAAGTCCTCCTTGCTGGCCGAGGGGTTGCCCTGCATGATGTTGTGGCGGATGGAGCTGGCGAAAAGCACCGGCTCCTGACCCACGTACCCAATGCACCTGCGCAAGGCGGCAATCTTGAAGGTCTTCATGTTCTGCCCATTCACCAGAACAGCTCCTGAGTCCGGATCGTAGAAACGCTCCAGCAGAGCCATGACGGTACTCTTTCCGGAGCCCGACTCGCCCACCACGGCGACCTTCTGGCCTCGCTGGATCGTCAGCGACAAGCCGTTCAGCACCTTCACATCGGGCCGTGCCTGGGTTGCTGTTAAGGAACAGAAATAAAGTTGTTGTAGTAAAGACTCTCGGTTTATTTACTATATATCCCATTTTACATGACAGCAACCCAGTTGCAGGATACGTGAAGTGGACCGACTCGAAGTCGAACTGCTCGATGCTGTCGATGCCCTCACGCATGTCTTGGTCTCGGCACTGAATGTTTGGCTTGTTCTCCACGGCCCGAAAGAAGCGGCCAGCAGCAGTCTGGGCTGACTTCATGGCCTTGATGCTGGGATCCAAATTGCCGATCATGAAGCTGCCAATGAAGATGCAGAAGAAAATTGCCATGATTGTGCCTGGCTCCCATTCCTTGCCGGTGGCAGGATTGACCTCGTCATTGTATTTCAATGTCATGCCAAACCAGAACGCCAAGCCGTACCCCAGGAAGACGATGCACATGGTGTATCCCATGCCAGCACCCACCTTGAAGCCATTCCTGACGCCGCCGCGGCGAGTCTGGACAAGGGCTGCAGAGAACTTCTTGAGCTCACGGTGCTCGCCACCGAAGGCAACCACCGTGCGCATTGCATGGAGGCACTCCTCGACGGGCGAGGCATCAAAAGACACCGTTTTGAAATTAAAAATTTGGAAAGGTCAAGAGAAACTAACTGTGGATCAAAAACCAGTCTTTCTTTCTATGTGTTATCTTTGTTTTTACTTGCTTACTTCGTTTGTTGCTATTTCGTTCTGTCTTTCCTACGTTACTTCTTTAATTCATTCTGTTTTTCCTTGTCTCCGCGCTGAATTGCTGTCATTCTTTCTGTGTTTCTGTGGTTCCCTGGGACAGGCGTCTATGATTTGTGTTGTTCCGGTGTCTTTTGCCTTGTATTCTGCTTCTACAATAAAAAATCGTTTTGTTTGATCCCTTAAATAGTTTTTCTTGATCCCTTAAATATTGTGTTATCCCCTATCCCCTCCTCGACGACCGCAGAGGCCTTGGCATACCAGCTCTGCGACTCGTTCTGGATCTCCTGGACGGCTTTGCCCATCACGGCTGCCCCGACACCCATGAATGGCAGAATAGAGCACATGACCAAAGCAATCAGCCAGCCCATTCCGAAAGCACATCCGAAGCCGCCGAGGAATGCCGCGGCAGCCATAACTCCATTGCCAAACTTGTCGCCGAAGGCATCCTGGATCTTCTCCAAGTCATCATTGATCTCCGCCGGCAGAGCTGCAACCTCCTTCGTGTCGAACCAGCCCACGTCCTGGTGGAGAACGGAGTCGAAGTAGAGGACTCGGAACTTGAAGGCCTGCTTCTCGGCGAAGATCTTGAAGCAGGCTCCCTGCAGGAATGCTGCAAAGGTCGCCCCAACACCCACGAGCATCATGGTGATGCAAAGCTCCTCCATCTGGCTCATCATGCCGTCCATCATCATGGTCATCTGTTCGGGGGTCATCGTAGCCATGCCACCTGTTGAACCCCCCATGCCGTCAATGAGATCGCCGAAGACAATGCAGAGCAAGGGCTGCGATATGCCGTTGCCGATGGCACCCAGACAGCCAATAAGAAGCACAATCACCTCCAAAGTGTTCATCTTGGAGAACAGCTTGCATATTGACGCAGGTTTAATCTTCTCCGGCTTCTTCTCCGCCGCAGCCTCGGTCGTAGCCTCGATCTGCGGCATCTCATCGTCATCCTCTATCTGCGGGCTTTCGGGCTCGACCTTCGCCATCTTGAGGCGTGAAGGGGAAACCACACACCCTCAGCGTGGAAACAGCGTCACAAGTGACGAGCTTACGAGCTGCACAGCTTGAGCCATGGCGGGTTCACACGGGCGACTTCAATACATGTACATCTCGGCATCAGAAAATAGCCGATATTGCATATACAGTGCGTTGTCCAGTTGCAGAACTCTGTGCTAGGCTTCAAGGTCGCTCGGTTGCTCTCCAACAACAGTAGAAGACTTACAGACGGCACAAAGCTATCGATAGCATACGAACCTCAGGACTTTACGAAGTTCCGCTCTGGTCGTTACATGGCATGTTAGGCCACGTGCGAACAACACGACCTCACTAGCGATTGAGTCGACGCTTCTCTGAACAAACATAAGCCAAGCTGCCGGTTGTGCAGAATCCGCAAGTAGATTTGCAGTTTTCACGTAGCTCGGCCGCTTCCACGTCACCTAGTGTGAGGCGGTGGGGACAGGATGCGCAGACACAGTCGGAGGATACCTTGACTTGAGGGGGATGGACTGCCGATTTCAGCATCATCGCTTGGCAGGTCATCGACTGCTTGTCCTTGTGATTGGTCGATGTGCGGACTTGTACTGCTACCGTTTCGATTGTACGAACTATCTTCTTAACACAGCTACGACAAAATTTGTTGATAGTTGCCCCTGATTATCATTACCTTCTTCATTCTTGCCCTCATTGCCCTCTCTACAGAGTCTATTGCGCATGCGGCTCAGAATGGTCTACCTTGCCCAGAGTCCATCTTTTCGCAACTGATCAGCGAGCCGCCCTTTGTTAGAGATGCTGTTCAAGTTTCCTTTTGTCATTTTGTGAACAGTCGCTGATGCTCAGATGTCCAAGTTCTGAGATGCGGCAACAATTCCAGACGTCTTAAAGGTCTCTGGAGTTGACGCAGGGATTGAACATGAGATACTGTAGCCGCCAAACATAGCCTGCCAAAGGTGGCCAAACACATGCCGTGTTTGCAGCAGAGCCACTTGTACAGTCGACGCCTGCGAGAACTCCGCATGCTCCGGAGCGGCTAAAATCTCTTCTAATTTCAGGTCTGCGGCGAAGCAAGCTGAAGATTCGGGTTTGGACTCTCGCATGCATTTTCAGGGTTCAGGGGTACGACCGGAAACATTCTGCAAAGCACGAATAACGCCCCTTGTGCGAGCACGACGTGCTCTGGATATCAAAGGCAAAGGCAGACTCAAATCTCAAAGGCGGCAGAATGCACGAGCATGGGGGCTGTCGCCAAACAAAAGTGTCCTGTCCTTGTCCTGAACACGAACAAGACGTAAACAGAAGGCTACGCAGACTTTTCGTTTGCACACTTTCTGGCATTTGGTGAGCGTTTTCCAAGCCTGAATCATTTTTGTTTTACGGTACGTTCGGGTCTTACTGAAACTTCTTGCGCCCTTCATGGAGAGCCGTCTCGAATTCTAGCATATTCTAGCTATCTGGAACCCTGCTGCGCAAACTATACAAACTGCAGGGCGAGGTTCACCTGCGAATACATGTTACACACGGCTTCGAGATCATAACCTACCACTCTGCGGCCAGCCTTGAAACTGTTCGCACAATTTGCCTGCAAGGCGAAACAGGAACAACAGGTCATCACGACATGGATGAGATCAGTCCAAACTTAAAGCTCTCAGCATGGAACCTACATTGCTGAAGTCGAGAATGACAAGCTGAAGTAGTTTGCCACTTCGGCGTAGTCGAGCACCGGGCCTGAGGTTGTTGTGAAGTCAACCTTGTCACAGCAGCTGGTGTTCGTCGCCTGCATTGTGCATCATTGCAAAAACTACACACACGACTAAGGGCTTTCGATCCCCGGTAGACTCAACAAGGCTTTCTCACAGCAGCCCTCACGCATCTTGTACTGAGCTGCTCTTATCGTCCTATCACAGCTGGCCCAAGAAAGAGCGCCTCGCAAACAGGACATCCCTTGCAGCTGGACAGGCATGCATTCAGCAGCGCATCCTCACATGCAGCCAGAAGGAATACTGGAATACTTGTGGGTCACGGCTCAACTTGACGAAATTAAACTCGTGGAATTCTGGTGATTGGGGCACAAAGAGGCGAAGCTACTAATGACCGGAGAAGCTTCGGGACTTTTCGGGCTAGGCGACCCATGAAGCCGATGAAACTCCCGGCAGCACCCCAACAACATCACTTCTAGTAGCCTATCTACCCCATGTAATGCCTCATAGTACCCTTATGGCTTCGCTATCCCATCATGCCCTGGTAATACCCTGACAGAACCCCTTGGAGTACCCCGCAAAGTAACCCTTAGAGTTCCCGTTGCACTGCCCCATACATTAACCTTTTCAGTACCCTAATGCCGTGCCTCGTGATGCCCCATCGTCGTCCTATGGTGCATGTCATAATTGATAGTTCCCCTTGTGGTACCCCTTGCAGTACCCCTTAGTACCCTCTCTCATAGGAGCCCTTCAAAACACCCGACATGGTACCCTTACAGTACAGCTCAGAACACATCGTATAGTAACCTGTATCGCAGTACCCCTTCTAATGCCCCCCAAAACATACCCTTGGAATACCCCATAGTAACCTCTTTGAAACACGCCCTGATATCCTTAGTACACTTGGCAGCAACTCTTAAAATACGCCTTATAAAGCCCATACAATAACCTTCACAGACGCGTCATACTACCTCAAAGAACTGTTTGAAAACCCTACAACAGTAATTGCCCTTTTCATGGCGCTTGCAGTACGCCATAGTACGTTTTGTGGTGCTCTCGATAATACCCTTAATATCCAGATCACATTACAGTACTCCTTCCAGCACTCGACACGATAGCCTTACGGTGCCCGTTATAAATTAGTACCCCCCAAAACCCCTAGTACCGTTATTTTATCCCACAGCAGTAAACCCCGGTAGTACCCCTTTTCATACCCGTAATACCCTTATGGTACTCTTTGTGATACCCCATAAAACGCTCATCGCACCTCGTACAGTACTCCTTTGATACCCTTATAGTACCCCATGATGCCCTTGTACTGCCCTCTGTAGTACTCCTCTCATGATACCCTTATAATACCTACAGTATCCCTTAACTGCTATACTAAGCCTTAGGGCCTTAGGGTAATTCTGCGGACCGGAAAGAGCTCTCAGGCTAAGCTGCTGTCTCCGCAGCAGTGAAGCCCGTCGCCGATGCACTGCAATCCTTGGTCCGTGAGGTCTAGACATATGGTTACTGTAAGCGTACTGTAAGGGGTACTACACGGTTGTTACCATAAGGGCTACGAGTTTGCGCTCTCGCAACTCGGGCTCGCTAGATGAAGTCTCAAGGTTTCTTCCTCAAATCAAGCATTCGGCCAAGGTCCCCCTGCTGACCCTGCTGTCCCCACAGCTTCCGAACAGCCTCCGGAACAGCTTCTAACTTTGAGCTGCGGCTCTTTGGAAGCGTAGCTCCTGCTGGCAGGAATCTCCGAAGCGGCTGAGCATGGGCTCGTGACAAACATGCGGCGAAAGTCCCATTTCCAAAAGCCCGACGTTGCTTCTCGAGACCCTGCACCCGCGGACCTTGAGGAGCGTTATTATTATCATTATAGCCATTCTACTGATTAGCTATTATTGTTTTTATTAGTATTGTTATTGCTACGAATTACTGTTTAGTAATAATAAGGCACCATCCCGGACCAAGTTAGCACAACCCTTGCCCGTTGTGGACATGTTGTTTGTACGCACGGCTGCTTGTTCCCTGGCAGAGGCAAGCGCTGCCCAAAGCCCAAGGCCCTGTGGCGAGTGCATCTGTTCTTGAGCGGTTCAGATGAAATTTCACTGCAGACACCTGCAGACTATAACTGTCTTCTGAACGTTTCAAGAGCACAGGGCTGACAAGAAGATGTTGCCCGCATTTGGAGCCAAGATCATACCAGTACCAGCATTGCAGGCGTCTCATGTACCGACTTCCGGCTGAGGGCTACTCTTTTTTGTTGTTCTTCCGCCGTTCTTTCTCCAAGGCCTTGGCAAACGGCTGTAAGTTGTAAACAACGCCTCGCAAGTCAATGCCGCACACGCAAAGGTTTTCGTACAACATCAGAGAGCAAAAACGACAATGCGCGCACTTCACGGACTGGTCTCGGTGGCATCGCCGAGTTGTGCAAGTGGGAGAAAGAATGTGCTCGCAAATGGCCCGACTCAGATTGGTGAGATGTAATCACAATTGCACACGACAAATTACTGGCAGGGAGTGCAGGTTCTGCGTGAGCAGTGAATAAATGCGCCGTTGCCAACATCAAAATGCATTGCCAAGACATGCATGCGCTTGCTGCCATTTCGTTTAATAGGTGCAGGATGTCCATTGCTACTGTAGCAACAACTAAATGGGCGAGGAGTAATCCGGCTCCGACATGTTCCGACAACATGTTCCAAAGCAGGACCGTCAAAAACAAGATGATTTCGTGGATTGCTTCAGCTTGTGTGAGACGACAACGCGCTGAGACTTTAGTAGGTTTTCCCCACCCGCCCAGCTGACAGAGTCACACCACACGGAGTTCGTTGGACCACGGGAGAAGTTTTCTGGGGGAGAATCAAGGCGGTCGGCATGCTTCACACTTAAGCAAGCGCAACACCAACTGTCCAACCGGTAAGGAGACTGAAGCCTGCCGACCCGTCGATTCCCCAGTGCCTACCGGAGGACTGTAGAGGGTAGGTTCGTAGATTTTTGTTCACACCCTAGAGGAAGGGTGTTCAGCATCATGGACATTTGTCTCGTTCACCACCAGGTGCATGAGTAACCTGAAAGCATCCGGCACAGGAGAAACCGTTGTCTTGGTCCATAGTTTCTTTGGTTGGAAGAGCAAGCGGAAAGGCTTGAAGGAAAGCAGAAGATGGTTCAGCCAAAAGTGTCAGCATCTCATGACGATGAAGCTCCTTGTAGTCTGTGTATGTTGAGAGACGCGTGCCCCATTTTGTATGCTTTGTAGAGTGAAGACTTGGAGTGCAGGCATTTGGCATGAGTTTGTCGGCTGGGGGCAATCATGCCCAAAACGGGCAAGGGTTGTGGTAACTGCCCATCGTGTCTACTGGATGCAATGGCCCCGGAATAGTATGACGGTCCGAGTGCAGATGAGCCCAAGCTAGGCCACCTAGCAGATCAACATGAGATGTGCTGTACTGGTGAGCTTTGGCTCGGCTGTCCCGCATTCTGCACCATTTGGATCTTCATAAGTTCCATCGTCGCAGCCTCGTTGGCTGCGGAGGAATGCTTGCAGAAGGAACAACAAGCCTTCTCTGATCCATGCAGCCAAGTGACACGAGCCCTGGCACAGAGGCGGCACGAACATACTAGTTGTGGGTGGAGAGTTCACAATGCCTGTGATCCAGTCATAGTATGTGGACCTTGGCATGGCTAACCACACCGACAACACTTTAATACTTAGAAAGGGGTCTTGGGGTATATTATACTATAATTCTAAGAAGGAACCCCCTGATAGTTTTCAACACAGCTCGTTCTTTGAGACACATGGAAGAAGCCAGTGGCAGACAGGTCGCACGCGTACAAAGATGTCGCGCCCCTGGGCCACCGTATGGGACACCAACCCAACCTGAATCAATCCGTCGGTGGTGTCCTTAGCCGCGGAAGCCAAGCCCTTTTGCAGCTAGAGCTAGCGTGCCAAACAGCACCGTTTATCGCGACACAGCACCCTAATTCAACCCTTGTTTTGCAGCTGGGCTCTAAGTGTCTTTCAGCGAGCCCGCCCACCCTAAACCCTGCAGTGCTTCGGTCAAGTTCCGGTTTCTCATGCCATGGGAGTCTGGGGTGCACCGCATTTGCCATTCAACAACCTTTCCTGCATACATCTCAGTGTCGTTGACGAACAACGGCCCGCCACTGTCGCCGCTGCCAGCTCCAGATATGTCCTGCGCAGGAAGGGCAGCGGCCGGGTGGGACTCTAGATGCTATTTCCTCTTGAGCAGGGGACTGCGGAGCAGTTTCACTCATTACTGTATTTAGGTGGTGATGATGGCAGTGGTGATTGTGGCAGCTGCGATGCTGGCGAAAATGGCAATGACGATAACATTCACAGGGGCGATAACGTGATTTCTCAGCTGCAGGTGTGAATGCAATCTGATGTATGGAAAGCTCATCAACACCGATTCGAAGTAGTAGCTGCAGAACAGCAGTAGCTGCAATCGCAACTGGCAGTGCTTACGCAGATACAAACGAAAGCCTCGCTACGCTAGCTTCAGTGATTAAAGGACACAGGCCTCGTCTCGAAACTCAAGTTCAGAAGACGACGGCCAATTTAGGATTGGAACTGCTCCTTGACGCTTTGTGGGGCAAGTTTGTAAACATAAAAGCGTAGGCTGGAGAAAAACATTGTGGCATAGTCGACTATCCATCCGCTTGTTTCGCAAAACTAGGTTCGGTGTAACCCAAGTACTGCTCCCTCAACGGTTCGGAAAGGTGGAAACCCTACCGCTTATGTAGCGGCTACAGCAGCAACAGCCACCACCAGCACCACCACCACCAACAGCAACAAGAAGAATGTATGAGGAGCAAGTGCCGCAGAGGGCGTGCCGATCATGTTCCGCCGGCGTTGTACAGAAACCTCTTTTTTTCCTTCGCAACCTTAGCTGTGGAGCCCTGCTTCAAAAAAAGTTTCGACAACCTGTAACACTGTGATTCACAGAGTATATTTCGTTTGTGCAGTGCTTTCTTATGCGTTCTTGGACGGCGGTGGTGGTGGTGGTGGTGGTGGTGGTGCTGGTGGTGCTGCTGCTGCTTGATATGAGGTTCTCGTTGTTCCTGCTAGCCAATTGTTTGCAAAACCTCATGGACATCGGGTATGTATCGGTATGTAAGGCAATTTATGTGCGTCAGGTGCACTTTGTATAGTGTTCTCAAAACTTACACTGTTTTCCGCTTGTGGGGGTTTCGCGAAAAGTCACGGGGGGTTTTGATCAGTGGTTTCTGTGTGGTGATGGTGACAATGCTGGTATCCATTGGCAAGATAATCCACCCAACCAATTATGATAACGTCCACTCCAACCAGCATCACGAACGCCACTATCATCGTCGCTATCATCGTCATCACCAGGATCAACACCACCAGCATCACTACCATCACCACCATCACCACCATCACCGCCATCACCACCATCGCCACCATCACCACAATAACCGCTTTTACCGCCATCACCACCACCACCACCACCACCACCATGAACATCATCATCATCGTCATCATCGTCATCATCGTCATCATCATCATCATCATCGTCACCTGTTCGTGGTCATCAGAATTAAGTGGTGGTATCACTGTCCTTGGCATCCCTGACCCAATACCTAAAACCAACGCCTAAACCCGAGATTCCAGTTGAAAGCGGGAAGCCAGGCTGAGTTTGCATGGATACCGCCCCGAGTGCTGCTGCAGGACCTCTCGGGCATACCAGCCCCTTGGCCCAGTCTCTTCTTAGACCAGTTTAGGGTTTAGGGTTTAGGGTTGAACGCTTTGTGGATGCCGTGCAATACGGAATTAAGTTGGGCACGTAGGGTCTGAGTGAGAAGCATGGCCGTTCCGGAGACCTGGAAATCCTCAAAAGTGCTGAACGTCCTGTTCCAAGGCCCTACGCCTGATCAACTCTTGCCGGAAGCCAAACCCACCACCCTAGGACCCAGGAGCAACCCTGTAACAGCATGTCCACGCCGAGCGTCAGGGTCCCCAGAAACCCTAAACCCTAAACCCAGATTCCTTGGGTGTAGCCTTTTCTGGTTTGGGGCCTTGTGAAGTCCGTTGCAATCCTTGAGTCCCCCGCACGCGACAATCCTCAAAACCCGTAAAACCTGCGCAGCGTTTCCACAAAAGTGCGCCCCAAAAGCCGAAAAGCCCCTGAACTCTCAACCCCAACAGCTCCGGCAGAGCCAGTACCCGTAGGACTGCCGTACTGGAGCTCAGCAAGGTATCCTTGCACCCTAGCAAGGAACCCTAAACCCTAAACCCTCAAAGGGCCCCGGGCGCAGATCTCAGTCCGAAGGTGCTGATTGATCTCTGCGCCATGCGAGATGCGGTGCAAGCACGAGGCCTGTGTTTTTGTTTTTGTTTTGCGACTTTGGGGCTTTGGGTTTCTAGGGTCAAGGGTTGAGGTTTGGGGCTCTGCGGTTTTGGGGCTCAGGAGTTCAGCGTTTGTCTTCGGGGTTTTGGGGGGTTTAGGGTTTAGGGGCTGTTTGAGAGTTGGGGTGTGGAGGACTTCGAGTTAATCTTGCCGATGGCTTCAGGATTCAATGCGTGAGAGCTCAGCTTTTGCGGGGATGATACTGCGGATGGAACCCTATAACCCCTAAACCCAAAACCCGAAACCCTAAAACCCTGTGCAAGTTGGCTTGTAGGATCTCACCTCAACCCTAAACCCTAAACCTGCACGCTGAGCCCCGAATCCACACCCCGAGTAGCCATTGGATTGGTGCTAGGTTGCAATCGTACAACTTTGAGAGGTCATGAACGGGGTCTCGTTCTGGGGGACGATGTGGCTGAACCATCTACGGACATACGAGGATACGAGACTGCTCGTCTGGATGGGAGGTTAATATGGACACAGCCTCGGTCGCTGCCTTTGATAGTCGCTCCGGCTCACGCGCAGGTGTGTCTGTCGAGGTTAGGGGATCTATGTTGCTTCCTCGGCAAGCCCCGAGAGTTTAGAAGTTGAGCACGGCGATTCTGAATCCTGCGGTACAGTCCAGGAAACCCTAAACCCTAAACCCTAAAACGGAATGTCGCAGTCGAAGCAGCTCTTTTTTGCACCGCCAGGCGGCGACCCATCGAGAGTCAATCCGCTGCGACGGGTGGACTTAGTGACTGGACGGGATTTTGTTGTTCCTCTCTGTGTTCTGTTCGTAGTATGCGGTGGTGTTCATGCTACCTATCGTTACGATGTTGTAGTGTCTGTTTGCTGCTGATGCTGACGTCGTCGTGGTGGTGCTGGTGGTTGTTGTTGTTGCTTCCTTTGCCGCTGCTGTTGGTGCTGGTGCTATTGCGGTCACTAGTATTGTCTTTATTTGTTAAGATTTTTACGTGTCTTTATTATGATCATTAATTATTGTTGTTCTTATGATTCTAGTACTATTCCTTATTCTATTACTATCATTGTTACTATTGCTATCTTTATCTTTATAAGCCTTCTTCCTCTTCTTCTTCTTCTTTGTCTTGTTCCTCTAACGGTTCTTCTTCATAGTATGGTTAGTATTGTGTTACTACACATGCGAGGTTTCGAAGGTTTTGCAGTGGATTGAGGATCGTTGCAATGCAGGGTTCTTCGCCCTAAGCCCTAAGCCCTAAACCCAAAACCCTAAACACCAAGAACCCTAAACCCTCAACACCCTAAGCCCTACACCCTACACCCTAAACCCTAAACCCTAGACCCTAAACATCCTAAACATCCTAAACATCCTAAACCCTAAACCCTAAACCCTAAACCCTAAATCCTAAACATCCTAAACCCTAA